AATTAATATGCAGAAATCTGTTGCTTTCTGTACACTAACAAGAAAGTAGCAGAAAGAAATTAGGAAGAGAATTCCATTTACAGTAGCACCAAAAAGATTAAATACCTAGGAATAAACTAACCAAGGAGGTGAAAGACTATACTCTGAAAACTATAAAACATTGATGAAAGAAATTGAAGATGACACAAATGGAGAGATATACCATGCTCATGGACTAGGAGAATTAATATCCATATTATCCAAAGCAATCTCTAGATTCAAAGCTATCCCTATCAAAATACCAATATTATTTTTCATAGAACTACAACAAATAAACTGAAAATTTGTATGGAACCACAAAAGACCCTGAATAGCCAAAGCAATCTTGAGAAAGAGCAAAGCTGGAGGTATTTGGGTCTCAGATTTCAAGATATACTACAAAGCTATAATAATGAAAACACTATGGTACTGGCACAAAAATAGACACACAGATCAATAGAACAGAATAGAGAACCCAGAAATAATCCCGTGCATATAGTCAATTTATGACAAAAGAGGCAAGAATCTACAATGGGGAAAAGACAGTCTTTTCAATAAATGGTGCTGGGAAAACTGGACAGCCACATGCAAAAGAATGAAACTGTACCACTGTCTTACACCATACACAAAAATAAAAGTGGATTAAAGACCTAAATGTGAGACCTGAAACCATAAAACTCCTAGAAGAAAACATAGGAAATAATCGCTTTGACATCGGCCTTAGCAACATTTTCCTAGATAGGTCCCCTCAGACAAGGGAAACAAAAGCAAAAATAAACTATTGGGATTACACCAAAATAAAAAGCTTTCATAGCAAAGGAAACCATCAACAAAATGAAAAGACAATGTACTAAATAGAAGATACTTGCAAATAATCTGACAAAAGGCTAATACCCAAAATATATAAAGAACTTAGACAACTCTACACCAAAAGTACAAATAATCCGTTTAAAATAGGTAGAGGACCCAGGGACGCCTGAGGGGCTCAGTCATTAAGCATCTGCCTTCAGCTCAGGTCATGACCAGGGTCCTGGGATCGAGCCCCGCATCAGGCTCCCTGCTCAGCGGGGGGTCTGCTTCTCCCTCCCCCACTCCCCCTGCTTGTGTTCCCTCTCTCACAGTCTCTCTCTCTGTCAAATAAATAAAATCTTCAAAAAAAACAAAATAGTAGAGGACCTGATTAGACATTTTTCCAAAGAAGGTACACAGATGGCCAACAGACATGAAGAAAAGATGTTCAACATCACTGATCATCAGGGAAACGCAAATCCAAATCACAATGTGATATCACCTCGCACCTGTCTGAATGGCTAGAAACAAAGACAAGAAAAACAAGTGTTGGCAAGGATGTGGAGAAAAAGGATCTCTCATGCATTGTTGGTGGGAATGTAAATTGGTGCAGCTACTGTGGAAAATAGTATGAAGGTTCCTCAAAAATTTCAATTGGGTATTTACCTAAAGAAAACGAAAACACTAATTTGAGAAGATATATGTTCCCCTGTGTTTATTGCAGCATTATTTACAATAGCCAAATAAGGAAACAATCTAAGTGTCCATCAATAGATGAATGGATAAAGAAGAGGTGGTATATATACACAATGGAATATAACACAGCCGTAGAAAAGAATGAGATCTTACCATTTGTGACAACATGGATGGACTTAGAGGGTATATGCTAAGTGAAATAAGTCATGCAGAGAAAAACAAATATCATATGACTTCACTTATATATGGAATCTAAAAAACAAAACAAATGAACAAAAATAAGTCCATGAGGATGTAATGTATAGCATAGGGAATATAGTCAGTATTATTATAATAACTTTGTATGATGACATGATAACTAGACATGACAGGGATCATTTCATAACATATAAAAATATCAAATCACTATGATGTAAGCCTGAAACTAATAGGATATTCCAATTATTTCTCAACATGCTAAGTCAACAGCAGGCACTTTTGAGTCATGAAAGGGGTGGTGGTATTTTTTTCACCTGATCTCTGACCTCTGGCCCGTGCCCTCCTATGGATGGAGCTTCTGCCCTGAGGGAGCCTTCTCAAGTTTGGCAGCTGGGACTCAAGCTCTTCCTGCCGGAGCCTTTGCCCTCCTTCTCCCCAGCGAGTTCCTGTTCTGCTCATCTCCTATGCTGTTACCTTGGGAATGGAGAAGCAGGCCCCTGCAGAGTTTGCCTTGTTTCACAGGCCACAGAGATGATGGCTGGCCTGGCCCTGCCCGTAGGCTAAGAGAGGAAGAAAGTGGCCCAGAGAATGCTCCTCCAGTTATTCCAATCACATATCCACCATTTTGGGGAAACAGTCCGCATTCAGAATGGAACATAGAGGTGCTGTGAGTAAGGAGCCTAGAGTATGTCACAAATTCAGGTTTGCTGCCTCTCCTGGGCAGCCCATTCCCACAAAACAGTCCAGTCCTAGCCATACATTAATGCTTCTGGCCTGCACCTGAGCCTCAGGAAAGGTGGAAAACTCCCGTACATCTTCATAAAATATCATAAGTCTGCTCAGCTGCAAAAAAATTCATTGAAGGGAAAACACCAATGATTCTCTTTACACATTGGCTTTTTAGCAGGTGCTAGCTGTCTGGGCACCTTGGAGCCCATCCATCATGGTCTAGAGAGCCTCCTTGGCACTGTCCTTGTGGGTGTTTTGAAACTATTTTTAGTAACATACCAGACTTCCTAACTGGAAGGCTTCCTGCAGTGGCCTCATGACAGGGTGAGGGCATCGTGTCTGATGCAGCTCCAGACAGGACAGTTGGAGGGAGTCCTCTGCACAGTGCCAGCCTCTCATGGGTTTCTCCTCAGCCCCCCCATCTCATCACTTCGTCTCTCTGAGAGCACCGTGGAAGGAGTCCTAGATCAGGTCTCCTTGGCCTGGGAGCAGGTGGTGGCCAAATGGTAGAAGTGTTGGCTTTGGTGGGATGGTCTTTCTCTTCCAGCAGGAAGAGGCCTTTCTCTTCTCTTCCAGGACTCCATCCCTGACCCAGCTTTGATGTGAACTCAGGCCCGAGCAGAGCAGCTCCTGAGCCAGTGCCCTCATCTTACCCTTCTTATCCCAGCATCAGCTCTGGGGAGCTACGCACACTCGAGGCTGCAGACCCCAGGGGCTGCATGTCTGTGCCCTGTCTAAAGGCTGTGACCTCCCACATGGTCCCACACTCCACCTTCTGCTGTAGGATACTCCCTACAAACTGCTCCCCTAGGCTCCTGCACAGGCCCCCATAATGAGCTTCTGCCCGCCTTGGGCTTCTGAGAATTTCCACTGAGCTCCTTCTTCGGAGCCCCTGCCCCTTCATGCCTGGTGTTCTGCTCCTTTGGCTACTGGGTTTCTTTCCCTGCTCCCTCCCTATGTGCCTCTTTGACCAGGATGAGTCAGAAGCAGCTCGGGTGGTGTTGGGATTGGATTCCTCCTGCCCTTGAGGCTCACTCTGTCCTGCCTCCTGTCCTGTCCTGAGTTCATGTTTCTCTCTCCTTCTGTCGTCTTTGTTGCTGGTCCACAGCAGTTCCAGGTAAAAGCTAGCTAGCATCTGAAATAGAGAGTTCAGTTCTATAGTTGTTGAACTCAAATGAATTTCATCTCTATACAGATGCACCTCAGCCAACAATGCAGGTTGCCTACCTGGGCTGCAGGGAGGCAGGCATGTGACCAGAGACCGTGAGTGGAACAGTGTGGAGGTTGAGCTGGCTCGTGAAGATGACCCAGGGTTAGGACAGGTGGCCTCCACAGTCAGCTGTTATGACTGACAGCCCAGGGGAGCCCCTCTCCCTGCACTTGGGGTCTAGGAAGTAGATTAACTCTTTGAAGGTGTCCCAGGGAGGCTCACGCAGTTTCATCCATCCACAAAGACAGAACTGTATCTGACAGAGGTCATCCACAGCATCTGTGATTCTGAGTAAAAACCACACAGTGGTAATGTGGACACCGAGAGCACAGGGAGCCCCACCTAGGCTGGCGCCCTGCCCCCGACAGCCTGGCAGAGCCCCTCTGAGCCAGAGTTGAAGAGAGCTCATGCTGTCGCCATGCACCCTGCACATCCTGTGCTGCCGGAGCATCTGCCTCAGCTGCCGGTCAGAGGTGGTGGCCCTGGAGTGAAGGGTTTCCGGGGCAATGGGGTTGTCTGAGGGCACCAGGGCGGGCGGCCTCCCACCAGAAGGCCCAGTGTGGAGATGGATGGGAAGCTGACCTTTGGCTGCTATGGCTGATTAAAGATTTGACTGAGGGGTCTATAGAAACTGTCCCACACAAAGTGAGTATATAGATTACTCTCAACATCAGGGCTTCTTAATGTGCTCATGTCAAAAAAAGTCACAGTAAATTCTTCACACAATTCAGTTGTGAGATTCTCACCCTTCCCTTTTTGCTGAGCTGAAATTCTTAGGAAAATACTTAGGCACCAACAACTGAGAATGCCTTGAGGCTGTATATAGCAGAGCTAACAGTTCCTGCCTTTCCTGCTTCCCTTGAGAATCGGGTGTTAAAACCTTAGATGTCTATTAAAAAACAAGTGGGCCCAGGTTGCTAGCCCAAGAATCCCATTTATAAAGCTGTTTGTGTGAGAACAGGTGGCGTTATCCTTCCAGCAGTTTCCAGCTCTCATATTAGTGTGAGCTTTTTGCAGACAGGCCACAGCACGTTCACTTGCCTTCGCTCCCCACGGCAGATAATCGCCCGGCTTGTGACTGGCATTCCAGGAAACGTGCTTATTTGTAGCCTTTGTGCGTTCCGGGCCATTCTGTCCGAAAGGGGTGATCGTTAGGAAATGACTCTGCTCACTGGATGGCCAGCCTCTGAGAACAGACTTGCTTTGCCAGTCACCTTGCAAACAAAACAAGAGCCCTTCCGAAGCTAATAGGAATGCAGCTGCTTTTTGGGGAAGGATGGGTACGGTTGGTTCACTGGACCAAGAGATGAATGTGTCTGGTTAGTGGTTTAGTTTTCTTTTTTCTCTGTCCTCATTGCAGATGGCTCCAACTGATGAGTTAACCCACGAGATGACTGGCTTGCTTGACCAGACCTTGTACAGATGGGATCATCTCTGCATGGAAGCCCCGAAGTCAAGAAAATTGGCCAGAGAGCTCCTTGAGGAGCTGCGCTTGGCCAGCACGGCCTGTTGACCACAGAGCTGCTGTGCAGGGACCAGGCTCCCCGCGGCCTCGTGATGTGATGATGAGACCGTTTCTTCGTGGAACGAGTAGTGAGAATGAGCCGTAGACATCTTGGCAAGATCTGCTAGCACATATTTTATGAAGTGAGAAGACAGGTTCTTAACCCAAACTCCATCCAGTTTATTGTTCATGACTGGATTGTGCCTTGAGCATTCCCTACCTGCTCAACCCAGCTGCCAGAGAATCACTAAAGAAAAGGCTTAGATAGGAGAACAGATTTTTGTGTCCGTTTTCCCTCATATCAAACCAGGATACACAACTGTTATTTCAGTGGTTCAAAGTCTTTGGACCAAGAAATGGGTCATGAACCACTGATGGACTTGGAATGTAACTTGGTCCTTCTCCACAGGTCTCTCTTTTCAGAAGTCATGTTGTTGTTATCGGTATTTCTTTTGACCCGCAGGGATTTGAGATAAAGCCACACTGTCTTGCTTCCCTAAGAAATTCTTCATCAAGGCGTCTCTCGGGCACCTCAGAAGGGAAACAGAGCCCAGCAAAGTGGTAGTGACCGGGACCACTGCTCAGCGGTGGAGGGCAGCTCTGCCTGCCAGAGGAATACAGCCAGTTCCAGTGGGAACTGCCTTTGCTGTCTATCTGCTAAACACTGCCACCAGAGGAGCTCGTGTGACCTCAAGGATGGCCGAAAGGGGAGAGTATAGGACATGTTCTGGAAACGTTAAAAGAGGTTACGTATTAGTTGTCTAGTTAACCAAAGTGGGAATTCAAAATTTCTTTTTTTTTAAAAAAGATTTTATTTATTTGAGAAAGACAGCAGAAGCGGGGGGCAGGGGCAGAGGGAGAGAGAGAAGCAGACTCCCTTCTGAGCAGGGAGCCCGATGAGGGGCCCGGTCCCAGGACCCTGAGTCAGATGCTTAACCAACTGAGCCACCCAGGTGCCCTGGGAATTAGAAATTTCTAATAAACAATCGGTTAACCCCAATATTTATTTCACATCAATTAAAAAATTTTCCCCTTCAAGGTTTATTCTTAATATGCATTGACTATGTGCTTTTCTGTGTGCATTCTGGTGGTTGAGTCAGTCAGGACTTTATGTCCACTTTGATTTATGTGTTAGTGATCTCTGAATCGCCCTCAGTTTGGGCTCCTGTTTGAGGTATGAGTAACATTTTGTTGGATTAAAGGTTGTGGTTTTAGGATCATTACTGTTTTGGTATATGGATCCACCCAAAGATCTGGAAAATTCAAGAATTGTTTGATCTGAGCCTGCCTTTTGAGAAATGTTGCAGTTTGATCAATGTTCTGGTAAAATACTGTCCACACAACTACCACCATTATTATTTTCCTTTTTTTTTTCTTTTTTTTTTTAAAGATTTTATTTATTTGAGAGAGAGAGAATGAGAGATAGCACGAGAGGGAAGAGGGTCAGAGGGAGAAGCAGACTCCCTGCTGAGCAGGGAGCCCTGATGTGGGACTCGATCCCGGGACTCCAGGATCATGACCCGAGCCGAAGGCAGTCGCTTAACCAACTGAGCCACCCAGGCGCCCCCACCATTATTATTTTCATATTAAAAGGCTTCATTTGGAGTTGAGGACATCTCTTCTGTGTTGTTTGCCATGGAAGCTGTGACCAGCCTCTGTGGGCATGAAGAAGGGGATCTGTCATCTGGTAGCCTAAATAATCCCTAACGTGAGGGCCTGTCAGGAATCAAACTCCTATTGTCGGTGTGCTTCCACTGGAAATTCATTCTCAGCAAGACTGTTACCCACCTCAGCAAGACTGTTACCCACCTCAGATTGTTGAAGCTGCATTTCTGATAGGTTCCTTCCTGTCCTGACCTTACCTCAGCCTGTTTGTAGTATCTCCAATTCCTGTACAATGCCTCGAAATTCTCCCAAGCCTTGGGCGTTTGAGTCAGCACCTGACCAGACTCTGATCGGCAGAGCTTTGGTCTTCACCCCGGTGAACTCCTGGCAGCCAAGCAGTTCTTGTGTCTGGAGCAGGCACTGATTTGTTTACTGATTTTACTTTCTCCCCTTGCCCTTCCCTCCTTGAGAAAGTCATTGACAAGGGGAGAAGTGCTCCATAGGGGGAAACAAAGGGAAGCAGGACTGTTCCCCAAACTGGAGGGGCAGCTGGGAAGCCTCACTGGCAGGCCCTGGTCTTCAGTGGCGCACATGCCAACCGCTTTAGAAGGGTTACTGCATCATCCCGTTCACTTCTCTGAGGAGGAGGGAGTCTCCCTAAGTGCAGATGGAGAGGGGGTGTGCTGTGGAAGGGAGGAAGCGATGCTGTCCCCTTGACGGCCCAGGAAGACAGGTACCTTGTGCTCCTTCTGCTCCTGAGCAAGCCCACCCCCAGCCACCCCAGAAGAGACCCAGTCCAGGCAGAGGAACTCAGGAGCAGGCTAAGTATCTAGTAAATTCCACTTCCTCATCCCGTTGCCTTGGAGTGGGGAAAGTCTGAACATGTGGGTTCTTTCGGTTTTTTGAAGTTCAAAGAAGTAGGGTTCAAGCTAGGAATGGGCTCTGGTGAGGATGCATGTGTAGGCCCCACAGAGGGCCCCTGTTGGAGAGCTTGGAGCGCTGAGGCCTAAGGCAACATCAGCAGTGAGGCTGAGACCCAGAGGCTGTGTGTGGGGTTTACTGGACTGGGTTTCTTTCCACCATAGTGTCTATGCCGGGCAGATGCTTCCAGCTTCTACCAGCAGAAAAGCCAATGACAAGTGGCTTCAACAAGAACGACACCTGATGGTCTCAGACACACAAAACCCAGAAAGGTGGCTAACAATGGGGTTGGCTTCAGTGGAATTCTGGGTTTTCTCTCCAAGTTCAAGAAAGCTGCCAAGTCGAGACTTTCCTGACAGCCTCCAAGAAGGAAAAGGACCTCAGCTTCTCCCCTCTCTCCCACCAGCCCACACCGGACCTGCCCTTAGGTCATTGGCAGACCCAGCTACAGCGGAATGGGGTTCCTAAGACCATGGGCAGATTTATCAGGACACTAAGGAGCCTTGAGCTTCAGGGCCTTCCACTGCCTGGCCCCTCAGAGGCCCTGGGAGAGGCCCCAGCACCGTGCTCCCATGATCATCTGTTTTTGTAAAATACATAAAGAGAATTTAACTGCCACTGGCAAAGGTGTCTCTGTGCACTCCTGCTGTCCCCCTTCCCATTGGGCAGTGCAGGGTGGCCTTGTGCACTGGAATCTGCTCTTCTAGAGCAGTTGAGAAGGTTGAGTCCCCATGAAACCGTCCAACCACTCAGCAGGAAAAGGTAGAGGAGGGCCCTTGGCAGGAAGCGTGTGGGCACGTGAGGCTGTTTCTCCAGCACCACTAGAACAGCGTGGAGCAGGTGAGTCTCTGTGGTAGGGTGTCGTGTGTGCTCTAGGGGGGTGAGCAGCATCCCTGGCCTCTCCCCACTACACACCGGCCCGGAAGTGACAAGACTTTCTCCAGAATGTCTCGGGAACCTCCCCCCAACTCCCCGATTGAGAACCATTGCTCTAGCTGGTGGTCCGTTATTTCTGGAAAGATGTCCTGGATGGTTACAGAGAGAGAAATTAGCCTTAAGAGGATCCTAATAAGAAAACTAGATAATCTGATTCCAAAATTCGTATGGAAAAATAACCATTGAGGAGCTGCCAGGAAAAGTCTGAAAGTGCAGGGATGAAGTATAACGAAGTGGGGCATGCACTGGCACGCGCTCTAAGGCTCGAGCATGACAGCAGGGTGATAGGACCGAGGGGGGCACACGGAGACTGCATCTGGGTTGCAACCCCTCCTTGTGGATCCAGCAGGCAGTTCTCAGGTCCCCTCACAGGTCTGGGCAGCCCCTAATCCCATCAGTCCCTTCCTCCCTGACGCTTTCCCTTGACTGGCAGAACATTCCAGGGCTTCCCCTCAGCTGGAGAGCTCGTCCCTTCTTGACCCCTGACCTTTTTCCTGGGTGGAGCCCCCAGGCTCCATCCTTGGGCCTCTGCCCTGCAGACCCTCCCTGCACTGGGCTCTCACATGCCATATCTGTGCAGAGGGGCCACACCCCTTCCTGAACCACAGGCCTGAGTGTCCCACCGCCCAGTAAGCATCTCCCTGAGAAGTCAGATGACCATCTCATGTGCAAAGCTGATTCCACCAGCTCTACCCCATCCCCCCAAACCCACTATCTTCCCACGTCAGTTGGTAATTCCATCTTCCCAGCAACTTGCACCCAATTCTGGACCCTTGATTCTTCTCTCTGTCACCCCCACATCCAGTCCATTAGAATACTCTGACCATTTCTTACCCTCCACTCTTAGACACCATCGTCCGTCTGGTCTCCCTGCTCCCGCTCCACCCCACTACAAGCAGCGTGGGCGATCTCTCCCCACTGCAGTCGTGGTGTGCCACTGTTGAAGGCCCTCCAAATGCTCCCCGCCTCACCTCAAGTAAAACCCAACATTCTAAAATGGCTTTCAAGGCCCTACGCGATCTAGGCCCTCCTTTTACTCTGACTTCATCTCCTAATTTTCTCTGCAACCCTTTCACCCACCCACCACCACCAGGTCCACCAGGTGGTCCCCCCGGAAGTGACTCCAACACATGGTACACTCCAACCCTGGGGCCTTTGAACGGGCTATCCTGACCTCCCAGACATGCAGGCCAGTTCCCCTGCCTGCTCACAGGTCACTGCCTCCATGAGGCCTCCCTGACATTGACAGTGGCACCCCACTCTCCTCCACCCCTCCTCCTGTACTACCTCAGCTTTTGTCCGCCCCCCCCCACAACTCCTAGACACCAAGTAATCTACTTACGTATTCTGTTTACTCTTGACTGTCTCCACCACAGGTGCCTGGAATAGTTGCAGGCATATAAAAGAATGCCAGTAAGTATTTGTGGAATTGATTTGTAAAGGGATTTAGTATATGGTAAAAGCATTTTGATTAACAGGGAAAAGATGGTGTTGGGAAATCAAGTTGGATCTCTACTTCTTCGATGAAAAGAAACATTACAAAATAA